CTCAGACAACATCCTCCAATCGCATGCTGTCCAGCAGAAGGGCAGCCTCCAACGCCGCAAGAAATGATCCAACGACTCCCCGTCACTGACCTGGAAAACAACAACAAACATCATGATATTCTGGCTCGGATTTGTCCAAGGTTGTACTTGCAATCAACTCTGAAAAATGTAATTGTAAATTGAACACAGTACAAAGAAGCGCCTTGGGGTCTACTCTGCACACACGCTACCCTATTCTGACCTGACATTCCTCACAGATTTCAGGGATTACAGTGGAAATCCCTCTTTGCAGATTTTCTCGGAAACTTTCTCGGAGCACCTGATCGTTAAAATGCTTGGATTGGATCTCTGATATTGGAAAAGCTTGAGAAACCATTTGTACCGTGCACTCAGTCGGGGAATACAAGTTCATTAAAAAAATCCATTAGCTTCGCTGCAACAGGATTAGCTGAAGAGTGAGAAAGATCACTTTATAAACAGACCTCAACAGCCTGTCATTCCTTCTACATTACTCTTTTCTCCTTGAGATACTCTTCTGCATGGTTTAGCAACCGATTGACATGGATTTCACTGATCTTCCTGCAGGATGAGGAATGCCGAAGTCTACAGTATCAGTTGCCCAACGTGCCCGGCGGCTGGCTGGCAGCAGGAGGGAGCGTGACGGCTAAGGAGAGCGACGGCGGAGTGCTCTGCTCTGTTTGCTTAAGCAGGGAGAAGCTGGAATGCACTGAGGATGGAGGAGAAAGCCCAAAGCGAGGTGCCCAGAAAGGCAAAGCACACAGACACACACACACACCACCAACTGTTAGATTACACTTTAGCGGCTCTGTCCAGCTTCAGAATAGCCTTGGCTCTGAGGCGTCCACCCCGATGAAAACAGACGCACAGGTTTGGCAAACACACGCGCAAACATTTCAGAGTGGGGCTTTGCTTCGGCACACAGAGGTGTATTGTACACACACACACAGTCCACAGAAAGGTTGTGTTGTCTTAAGTCTTAACAGTACTGTTTTTCTTTCTCTCAGAGGACCTGTGACCCACTCCTTGCTCAGCACAAACTGAGGCCTGGCTCTGTTTGCACATTATCACTCTCCAAACACAGAACACACCGACTGGGGGAACTTCACAAGACACATGTGAATTCATAAAGGAGTGCAGACACACACAGAGTGTAATCTAAACACTGCACCTATCAGGCTTCAGCATACTGCAGCCTTTTATGTTCTTCACTGCGCTCCTCTTCTCCTCTCGGCCCATCCTCAGCCTCTTACAACAGCAGACGCCTACACGCCGCTGCGGTTTGTTTATACAGCACGATAAGGCCTTCGCTCTCCGGACGTGGAGGTAGCTGATTGCAGGCCTCGCCGATTTGAAACTTTTGTTTTCTCTGGCAAGCACAGACATACACACACATAACAAAAAAATCTCAGCTTTTTTACAGACACTTCACTTCGAGAGCTGACAAAGTCTCTGGAGTTGTTTTATGTCAAGGCACAGATGTGTTTAGACAAGCATCGTGACAGACTCTCAAGCCATGTGAGAAGAAAGTGGAAAACAATACGGGCTGTTAGATTGACTAATTTGGTGACGGGTAATAGTGGAGACTACCTTGTGAACAAAGTGAATCATTCAATATAAGGAGCAGCCTAGCGTTGCAACATGATTGATAGCGTGAAACTGGAACAAATTAAACCCAGTGTAAGCGCAGTAGGTAATAAATGCCCTTTCTTGACAAAACGGCAACCTTATATGCTTTAGTATTTGAAATATTGGGTGATGAAATTCAACTGAGAACATTTTCAAACAAAGTGGACATGCCAAAGATCAGAAATTAAGTTTTAACCGACTCTGCAGCCACTTTGATTTCACTTAACAACCTCAGAAAGCAGAGAAGAAGAAGAGGAGGATCCCAAAGACCCAGCGAGGAGTTCAAAGCCTGTAAAGTGTTTTCATGCTAATATTTTCTTAAAGCATGAAGGGGAAACACTACCACGGCTATACATAATAAATGAACATTAATCATGCAGTACTATCCTCACATTGTGATAGCTCCGAGGCAGAAAAATGCTTTAACCGGGGTTCAAATCCCTGTCATCCCTCTCCCCTGTGTGAGGATCAATGCCAAGCGGTCACATGCTAGTCACACCTCTCCAGAGTGTCAGTAATCTTTCATAATTAAGCCAGAGAATCAACAGCCGGGGCAGGATCGACTTTGTCATTTTGGGAAAAGGGGGATTAGAGGTTTTTGGGAGAGCACAAGTGCAAACAGCAGCCGGTCGGAGGGCACATGGAATGAGAGCTAGACAGATGCACAAGTGGGTAATCTTCCATATCAGTGCCTCCTTATTCTTCTTCTACTCCTGTATTAAAAGTTATCCTACTTATCTGCTCGTCACCTTGTCTCCCTCTTTTTGCCTTTATCACACACCAGCACCCTTTTTCAAAACACACCCTCAGGTGAGAGGAGATATTGATCAGCACGGAGACAGACAGAGCATTTTAAAGCTGTCGGAGATACAGAGAGACTCCGGGTGTAAAGCTCACCTCGGGCTGTCACTCAGACGGGCGGCGTAAAACAGATAGTAATGTAGCCTGACACTGCACATGTAAATGACTACACCCATCCCAACATTTGTCCTCTGGATGAAACGGAGGATAAAGGACACTTTAGTACTTCAGAGTATGTAGAAAAACAGGATCATTTGGAAACTTAGTGCTTAAGAAAACTCTCTTATACATTGTGCACATTCCAGCAGACACCATGGGGAATTTAAAAGTTATAACTTTGTATCTCCCTCAGACACTTTATAAGACCTTGAAGGGTTATTACACTGAAGCTATATGGAGAGAAGGGAAAACCATTAACAGCTCCACTGTGAATTTATCTTCAATGTTACAGGCGCAGCGTGAATACATACATAAGTTACATATTTTAAAAAGGTATACAATACTTATAATTAGGCCCAATAAAGTGCATTATTTAGTATCAGAGACATATTCCTACAGGTATATAATAAAATAAATCTGCTAAAGGCCAGATAAGGTTACTGCTGAAACACATTGGAATATTACAGTGAATTAGTGAGAATGAAAAAGTGGGTTCTTTTCAAATGCACTTCTTCCCTCTTTATAAAAGAGGTACCCAAAACTCCACGCAGAGGGATGGTCCCAGGCCAATTTGAGTAATGAAAAGAGGCAATCATAGTTTCATTTGGAGTCCAAATGTGTCTGCGGCTGCCTCGGATTGAAAACGCTGCAAACTGGCATGCATTACTCGGGTCAATAGATACAATTAATTTGCAGCATTAGCCAAACCATTATGATCTGCACTCTTGTTGTTTATGGCTCCCGATATTTAATAAGCTCAAGCAATGCAAGTCCCAAATCTCATTTCAGACCCCCCCCCCCTCCACAATGCTATAATCCTGTAATTTGCAGCGTTTGAGGGTTTGACATGATGGGAGTCAAAGCTGAGCTGAGTGGCCAAAATCACCATCTGAATCCCATTGAAGCGCATGTGTTTGAAGAGGGGATGACTGATCTGCTGCGGAGGAGAGAACCGCACAGTTCGTTCATTCAAAGGGAGGTGGAGGAAAAAAATATGCTGTTTTCTGGAGAAACTTCAGAGATGATCAGAGGCATTAGGAAGAGCGGCTCTGTGAAAGAGGCTGATGAGTAATTCATATGTCTGCTGCTAACCAGAGAACACGTCACTGTTGCAGCGAGGAGAAAAGGCGTGTTCGTCCTAACGAGCAAAGGATGGCGATGAAAGTCAATATTTGACTTTTTGACTGTGAAATGATACAGTCGGTTTGATTGACGAAACATTGAAACCAAGCTTTTAAGTTGCGCATCTAATGGATATCCTCAAATCATTATGGAAATATAACTCGTGCGTAATTTCACAATTGATGTGCTTTTACACGTTTTCCCTTAGTTTTAGTTTCTAGAACTGAAAAGAGGAAAAATATTTCAATAAAAAATCTTCAAGCAAATAGATTTTAATTTTAAATGAGCAGAAGGGCTACAACAATTGCCAGTTCCATAGTCTTTATCAGTCCTGCAGCGTGCGTAATTTCACTATCCTGCGCCACACGCAGAGCAGCCTGCATTAATAAGACTATACACAGAAACCTGTGCGCGCCTTCTCCAAACCAAGGTAGGCTAATATAAATACGCACAGAAAACTCCGTCTGCATACAAGGACCGTGACGCACCGATTGCGCACAGACCGGGACCAGGCAAGTAGTTCAAGCGGCAGCACCTGTGCTATGGTTCGGACCGTGGGGCTGTTCCTAAAGCTCCACGCTGGCTCACACGCACTGTACACACTCCTTTATACCACACGGCTGCTTTACGCTGAGAGACTGGATGGCTCAACCTGTCTGACTCACACATCTACAAGGAAGTGGAAATATATATTTCATTCCTTAGAGAAGCTGCAAGTGTTGTTCACGAATAATAATAGCCTAATATGAATACAACTAATAATAGGCTAATACCAATAATAATAAAACACTTACCCAAATTATCACGTTTTGTATCCAAAATCTCCGTCTTTCAGATGTCACCAAGCATTCAGAAGAAGAAAACCAGGCTTTATTCTCCAGTAAACTTTATACAAATCCACAAAACTACTTTAAAATCCGTTAGTCCCAGAGCTTTGGGGAGAAGTTTGGCGACAGTGGAGGGAGAAAAAAGTCAGAAATCTCTCTCACGACTTGACAGCGAGAGTACTCTGCTCGGGCACCGATGCAGAGAAAACCAACTTCTCCACTAAATCCTGTTCTACCCTGCGCGCTGCTGTCCAAAGTGTCCAAACCTCCAGAGCGCGTTCATCCTGCGGTGCACCGGGCAGTGTGTAAGTGTGTGTGTGTGTCGGACGCAGTGATAACGGACCCTCGCTCGGATCCAGCGCGGATGCCAGTCGGTGTGTTTCGTTGCCTCGGATCAACCAACTCGGACTGGTGGCTCTACTCCGCCGGCTGCCTGTGAAGTAGGAGCTGCCGTCAAGAGAGAGTTGCTAGGAGACAGGAGGAGTTCCGGTTTGAACCTTCAAAATAAAATACGAGCTGGTGAAGTAGTGACGCAATGCTTTGCCTTATACTGGAGAAATGCCAAATATATTTGAAGTGGAACATGTAGAAAACACAAAATACATTTTAACACACATTTAACTAAAAATGGTGTATTGTATTTTGTAGAAAAGCAAAAATCATCACAAACTTTTTGAATATATTTTTCAAAGCAATTTGTATAGGCTACTGTTCGTTTACAAATGTGCAAAAAAAAGTATGTGAAAAAAACGGAAAGAAATACGAAACTTAAGTGATAGCTTACATATAATAAAATAAGCCTCATTCACATGCATCGCAATTAAGCCATCAAGAGGAGTCGCATACTCGCATTGTGCCACGCAGCCATTTAGAACATAGCATACTTTTATTTTGAAGGCTCTTCTAGTTTTCATTGTGTGTGTGTGTGTGTGTTTCATTCTTGACGCTCGTCTCCAGTCTCGGTCCGGGATGCCTCCTGCCTACGCGCTACGCTGGGACACACAGCAGCAGAGGGGGGAGATCATATTTTTGTGCGGCGCTCCTCCGGGGCCGCTGGAGGCAGCAAGACACGGCTGCTCCAAACGTCACCTGACCCAGCTCCATTTTTTTGGTCCAGAAAAACTAAATCAAGCGAGGCGTTATTGCAGAAATCCAAAACTGCTGAATGAACATAAATACAGTTTTCAATCTTTACAGTCAGTGTTGGCCAATGTTGGGTGTGGGAACCACAAAGGGGACCTGGAGAAGGTGGTCTTAGCTTTTAATGCCAATCTGAGGAGTACTATACACAGAAGGTCTAGAGATATTGTGAGGAGAGAACTCACATGTCTCTTTGGTTATCTGGGCGCCATTAAAGGATAAAACCCAGGAGGACTCAGGGGCCCGGCGCTGCACAGGGGCCCTGGAACATGTCATGGATTAGAGATCGTGTGTGTGTGTGTGTGTGTCAGAGCTGTTTTTGAACTTTCCCTTATAGAGACGCTCATCACCCCCAGAATATTAACAGACAATTAAAATCAGTGACCGAAGTTTCTAAATAAAACTTTTCTTGCACCATGTTTGTGGCTCTGATGGATAAGAGTGTGTGAAATTCAGATATGTTTTTCCAAAGGGATATGACAAATGTCTACACCTCTTTCTGTGAAATAATGGTTATGGTTTCTGTAACCAACAACGCTTAGAGGACAACTGGAAAGACTAAAATAAAAGTAGCTTTTAAGTCTTCTGAAAAAATAAATAAATAATGAATCAAAAAGTTTAGGCATTTAAAAAAGTCTGGCCAACTTTGTCAAACATCATTCTATTTAATCGAATGATGTTCACCAAAATAGTCTGATCGTTTCTTGTGACTAAAGCCTCTCTAATTGGTCAAATGCTGTCATTATTGAACATCTAGTAGTGAATAACTGTTACTGTTTTCAAATGCTACAAATAATTGTTATCAGTTAATTGCTCAAACTGTTAACGTGTAAATGATGTTATTGTTTCCAGTCAGACAGCCTTTTAGCAATCAGCTCAAAGCAATGTTTGACCAGTGAGCCCTAAAGAGTGCTGAGTGAACAGTAAATTACCATTAACCACCCATTTATTCTGCCATATACTTCAGCCTAATTACTGCTGTCAGGACAGAGGTGATAGCTGCTTTAAACAACACCAATTACCCTCATCTCTTAAATTGTGTTTTGAGAAGGCAACTTTATGATGCCATAAAGCGGAGCAGCCCTCTGCTAAGGGACCGGGAAGCTGGTGGAGTGTGCCGTCATCCGTCTGTGTTTGTCCAGGAGAGTTTGTCCCTCACTATGAGCTGTGACAATCCACGTCAACACGTCATAAATAACAATACAAGGAAGAGCATTGTCAAGTGGAGAGATCTATTCATTTTATAAAACTGTAAATTGAAATTCTTAAGAGTTTTTAATAGTTTTTCAGACAAAACGAATACCCCACATTGGGCTCCAGGAACTTGTGATGGGCATTTATTTTTACTCTTTTATAGACTGAACCACTAAACAGGACACCTCATATAAGTTTATGAGGTGTGACAAGTTCAGTTAAAGAATGATTTTCTCTTCTCTACTGTTTCATTTGAATAGTTTTAGGAGGCCTGATGAGGAAAGGTAAAGTACATTTAGTCATGTAGTCAAAAGCAAAGTATAGAAAAAAGGCTGAAAATTAGATGTTCTTATTTTAGAGCCAGTTAACCATCCCCTCAACCTATTGGGTTCACCTGGTTCATTTCTTGGACTGTGTGCTGGCCTCTACGTTGAGCCCAAATGGTTCATCAGTTAATCATTAAGGTTGTAACTTCCAGTTTCACTAATACAAATAAATACCACAATGGAAATTGATTCATATTTACAGTTTAGTTCGTTTAAATGATATAATTTGGCAAACATGAGGTGTCCAAATGTTTTTTTTAGACATCCTCATTGGTGCAGCCATTCAGCTCATTCAACAACACTGCCATAAGTGCTCTTAATGTACGGTAAATTCCTTCAAACATATCCCGCTACCTACAGGTGATGGTGCTTCAACCTCCTGGGAAAGTCAAATGGAGAAACAACAAGCAGTTCTCATTAAAGCAAGTGAAGAAGAGGAGAGCAGAGTGATGATGAAGGCCGGGCTCGCTGACCCTTTGGACTACAGTGATCTGTGAGAAACGAGGGATGGAGGGGGGGGGGGGGAACAAAAGCCAGCCGGTCAGGAGGAGAGGTCATACAGATGGTGAGAATGCTCAGTCAGACAGCTCGAGTACTGATGGGCACGCACACACACAGCAAGACAAACAAAACTCCTCTCTGCACCCCCTGCAACACCCTTACTTTTAATCAACACACTGACATATACACATTCCTCAACCCCCCCCCCCCCCCCCCCCCCGCCTTGCCCTCCAGGGAACAGATCAGCAGGAGATGAAAGGTGAGGTCTTGTAATTTAAAATGGAGTTAAAAATTAAACAACAACAAGACAGCCTCAGAGTTGAGTTTGGTTACTAAGCTGCAATGATCCTTAAGAGAGGGAAACATCAATAACTTGAAATCCTGCATATTTTCACTGATAACCCCTTTAAGTAGAGTCTGGTAGCATTGACTGTTTTCTCTTGTTGCACATTGCCTGTGTGCGCAACAACAACCGATTGACTCACAGTGGCTTTGTTGTGTACGAGGTGGACAAAAGCAGCAGGCTAATGATTAACACGAGTGATTCTGGCTGGACAAAGACGCAGCACAAAGGGAAGGAGCTGATCACTGAGGCCGCTTCACACTCCACTAGATGCTGCTCTCTGCTCTGCACGGCTGACCCAAATACAACAACTGCTGCAGTTTGTCTCTGTCGACTCGTCACACACACAAACATACTGTATGCAAGTGGTTCCCATCACTGGGGTCGGGACCCCTTCAACAGGTCATGGGATGGGTCGTGAGATGATTTAGGGAGTGATTTGTTACGCTTAAACTTGAAAAAGGTTAAACAATGCAGAATTACAGTGGATCACATCAGGAATTATCAACTGGTGGTTAGGGCCAATAAACACTTCTTGAATAGCTCTGACTGTAGAACAGATAATTATGAGTTACGTCAGAACAAAGTTTGAGACACTCTGCTGCTTTCTTAATAAGTGGTTCTTGACCAACTAATCTTGTTTGCAGAGTCGGACCGGACCACATTTTGGTATTGGAGCTTTTTGGTTTCCGTTTGTAGTCTTAGTGGTATTAACCAATCACATATGAGCAGGCTTTGTTTGTATGCAGATAAATAGTCCATGTGAAGAGCTAAAGAGGCGCATTGGCCGAAACGCAATCTTGGATGTTGCCCTTAGATTACATGCGATTTTCTCTTTGCTAACTGCGATGTTGGACTAGGAGCCTTGCGGTAAAAACAGCTAGTTGAGTTGAGTTTTTTATGGTTACCTCACCTGCTAGCTTGTGTGCAATGTAGGTCAGCTGACATCGAGTTTAAAGTTGGAATAATTTACATTTTGACCACAGCGACAATTTTGAGCTTGTGTCCTTTCATTATGGACTTTTTGGCCTTCTAGTACAACGGAGGTTAATTATAGCACAAATTAGCCAGTCAATGTTCACCAAAGTACAACGCAAGAGTGTTTCTGGAAAACGTAATTTGATATGTTGTATACCCTATTGGCAGATATTTAATCCTAGCACCAGCAGGGTCTCTGTATGTAAGAATGTTTTGCTTCTTGGTGGGGGATTTAGTATGTACACATATGCCAATGTAATCATTCACATATATACATTTGATGTGTGCAAAACAACCTCAGAAGACGGGTGATCCATGAAGCCATGACAGGGGCTCCCATGTAACCACAAATTGCGATGAGCACCCACACCTCAGAATGAAATGATCTCAGCAGGTTAGAAGCACGATGTGAGCTGAGCTCTGAGCTTCGGCTCTGCGGGGGTCCAGCTTTATGTTTGTCTTGACTCACCGTCTCTGCTGGGTGTAATGGCCTCGTGATCGGAGCCTTTTGGAGGAGAGGGTAGAGAAGTGAGCCAGTCTGCCTTGTCTGGTGCAGTCGCTCCCATTACACTTCTGTTGAAGAACGCTGAGCTGCGAGTCAATTTTGCAGCGCGGCTCAACGTTTTCCTCGCTGTGAAAGAGGAGGGCTTGTTGGTGAGGGCGCAACACAGTTTGACAGCTTGACTCCGCACTCCTGGTTGTTTGCTCAGAGAAATATATCTAAAGGCTGAGGGAGAGTAAATCACTCAGGCACAACTGGATCACTGTGCTCAAAAACCCTCACAGTAAAGCCCCAGTTAGGCTTTCCACACGAAAATTAGCCGACACAAAATCTCGATGAAGAACCGTTTGATCTTCTATACGCCATGCGGGTTTCTTTTGTAAGCCACAGATATTTCTGAAGCTTCTCAAAGTTCTTATTTTGTCTGGAAAGACAACAATCCCAAAAAATTCTGATGATG